AGAGGCCCATCTTGTCAACGCACTCCTAGCACCCAAGTGGGACACCCCATCTGTCCACACCCAGTTCTTTGGCTCTGTCCAAGAACAGAGGCATTCAAGGGCCCAAAGTAAGGCTGGAACTAATCATGTACCGCTCCTGGGGAGCTCAGCTTCTGGAAGAAGACAGAACAGCTCTTCTGGTATCCTCCTAGGAGTTGCATAATTAATACACACTAAGGGTGAAACGCCTATTTTTTTATACTGAATTAAAAACCCAGCTGCCAAACTAAATACTTAAAAAAAAAAATGTTTTAGGGTCTGCAAACATAATCCATAATGTGGTCTAACTAGAAACTAATTATTAAGCCTCTTTATACCACCCCCAATGGGGCTTCCAATGTGAGATTACAGGCGAGGGGCGGGTTTTTAAATGCCTTCACATCCCTCCCGGACTCAGAGCCGGGTCCAGGTGAGGACACAGGAGAGCAGCCCCAGGCCTGCTCCTCGGGCAGCTCAGTGCGGGGCAGGGCTCGTCAGCCTCCCGAGGGCCCTCTGGGCTGCATCCCTGCCAGTCTCCACCTCAAAGACGCTTCCACAGCGGGGTTTCAAATTCTCCCTCATCCACCTATTTTTCATTCTCCCCATCCCCGGTCAACAGAACCTTGTGGTATCTTTACATTAGGCCATCGGCAACCAAATCTGCCTTCTTTTCACAGATGTGAGGGGAGCAGGAGCAAGGCGTCTTGGTAGCACAGCAGAAAATACAGCAGCATTCCCACTGCCCACCGACAGCTGTCCTCCCCCGGCTTGGAGAATCCAGAACCCATGGCAAGTTCAAAATGAACCTAAAGTGTGACCACACACATGGGTGAACAATACGACAAACTGCTAGGCCAGGTCAAGCTCCGGCTGCTGGAGCTTCTGCGTAGACCAGAAGTACCTGCCACAGGAGACAAACTGCACATGTCTTCATGATCAGAAAGAATATATTCATATAAAGATATATAAGAAGGGGATATAAAATCCACCACAATTTCTGCATCAACTTTCTTATTCAACTCGATCCCCTAGTACCCCAGTGTTCAGATACCAAGTCTTTCAAGACACGTCAAGCAAAGCCTGTGACAAAGACCTTTACAGGCCTAATTATTAACTATCGTGTGTGTGTGTGTAGACACAGCAGCTTATGTCTTCATCAGGCATCTGGATTAAATGAAGAAAAAAATGAGACCATACTACAGTCTTCGAAGGTGTTGTTTCAGCTGGTTAACCTAACAACTCCACAGCCCATTAGAGAAGGGAAACTGCAAAGTTACAGGTATCCACATGTAAATGGGTAAGTCACTGGTATTGGTAATCACCATCCAGAAACACAAAGTGAACCACAAGATGGATGTGTGTAATCTACACACACACACATGTATAACGCTACACAGAAGCAACACACATCCGTGAGAAACGCACGGTTTTGCCTTGAAGCAAAAATGTTTCTCAGGCTATAAAATACTGTATTATCATGCAGACTCAATCAAGTGTTGAGACCTAAATAACAAAATATAATTCATGTGCTCAGATTTTAAAAATTCTTTTTTAGAGGGAAAATGAATATATATACAACTAAAGTCTGAACCTCTAGGTTTGTAATTTAAAAAAAATTAAAAAGCTATGCATCATACCATAAACTAAAGAAGTCTATACTCTTAACAAATACAGAATATATGAAAATCTATTTTTCCCTGGTACCATGACCCCCTGCTAGCGAAGGCTCTAAAACTGTGCCGCCTCTGCTTTATGGCTGACCCTGGGTCAAGCACTCATTAAACACTCATAACCATGAGGGGTAAGGACAGGTGAACCAGGATGTGATGGACAATCCCCAACACTGAAAGCATGGGGACCCCTGGACACTAGACAAAGAAAAGGAATAATTATGTCCCAAACAAGGGAGAATATTCACCGACCTCACTAAGCCCAGGAGATGATAAAGACTTTTTATTTTCAGAGACAAAAGCATGACAACAATGAAAAAGCTACCATTTATTGTAGACCCCCTCTCTGCAGGGGATATAACGCTCATTAGTCCTCACACAAACCTTCAGAGGCAGTTACCAGTATCATTTCCCACTTAGGAGATGTGGAAACATGCTTTGGAGTTAAGTTATTTAAGTCACAGCTTGTAAGACTCATGACAGGTTTAATGGGTCTCCCCTACCACCACTGTCACCTAATAGCTTCCCAGGCCACTGGAAACATGACTGGTATTGAGACAGGTATCAAATTCTGGCAAATACCATGAATAAGAGAGCCACACCCCTGCCATGATACAGGAGGGCAAACAGGTACGTATTGGTGAGCCAGTGTCTCTGGATTAGGAGTGAAAATCTGCTATGTCTTCATGCCTTACACATCTCTGTGAGGAGTACTGAATCAGATATGACAGAAACGGCAGACGTTTCTCCTGTGACTATTATCCACGTTTCTCTGGCCAAGTTTCTCATCTATAAAACGAAGGAGTTGTATTTACCCCATAGGAAAACTGTGAAGATTAAATATGACCTTGTATAGCGCCTGGCACCAAGAAAAAGGTTCTTCTCCTTCATCCAGTCTGGTGCAGACAAGCAGTAAATACGGCAATAATTCAGAAGGAAAACACCACTGTGGGGTGAGGGAGGGGAAGTTTCAGAGAGATCACCGGGATGCACTCTGGAATGTGTTCTGGAAAGGCGCGTCTGCGGAGGGGCATGCAGCGCCTCTTGAGCACAGCGGGACCACCAGGCAAGGCAGCGCTGGGTCCGGAGCACCACTCCATGCAGCCCCGGGGGAGCGGGTCCACGACGGGGTTGCTCCTTCCCCCTCTGCCCCGAGCACCATGCCCTTCTTCCCTGTCCCCGTATTTCAGTAGAACAGAAACCTTCAGCTGTCATCCCTTTGGTGCCATGCAAGTAGGGCCTGCTGAAGAGTGGCAGGAAATGTTGATAAGGGCAAGTCAGTCCCTAGGTTCCCATGATTCCAGCTGTATCACTGGCTAGTCAATCCTTACTTTTCATTATCTATCTCAGCAGTAAGCGATGGGTTACTTAGTTATTCTTGACTACTTGAGTTATTTCTGAGATCATGATAACTCACTGAAATCCAGTTAAACAGTAACCCAACTTATGGAGTAGCTGCACCTACCATCACCTGGCCCAAGTTTAACAATCAACAGGCAAATGGAGAGAATGATATCACTATCAGCCACACTCTCCCTGAGAAATCAGCTATTGTTCAACATCCCCCCCGCCGCCACACACATACAGAAGGGGGTAAAAATTTGCTACACTGCAAGGACTGAGCAGCTTCACACTTACTGAGCGGCTTCACACTGCAACCTGAAAAAAATGCAAAATTCACATTTCTAAAACCTAAACCTCTTTTAGAATTTTAAGTAACCATTAATGGATAATAAAAAGACAAAGCAATTTTAGTTAAAGAGGTAAAAGTCATAAATAAAAAAGCAGTAAATGTCACATCCCAAGTTCCCAAAGGTTGGAAATCAGGTAGAAATCACAGTGTCAAGCTACGTTTGCTGTCTTTTATAGAACTGGCTAGGAGTTCCTACAGGAAAGATAGGCACCCAAACATACATAGCCCACCACATTACATAGCACCACCTTTTCAAGTTTATGCTTGAAAAACTGACAATGTGAAGAAAATGCGAGACTTAACTCACCTCCAAGTCTCAAGCCCACGGCCCCCTACTATTCCCTGAAAAGAGGAGCTGGTATTATTGGGGCCAGACAGCCTGTGAGGACACCCAGCAGCCTCAAAAGCAGCCCACCTATCTGCTCCAACACAGTTCTCTCTCTCAAGGCCTGTGTTAAATCTCAGAGAAAAGGCTTCTCCTCTGACTCAGGGTGAGTTCTAAAGTTCACATCGAGAAATCTTGAAAGGGGTGTTTGGTTTTTTTTTTTTAATCCATTAGAGTAAATTTAGAACACGTATACTGAACTTGTCCCTTAATTTCTAAGTGATATATATCACTATCTGGGTATTAAAAGTCTCTAGTCATGGCCATTAAACTGATAGAATCTTGAACCAAACTCTACCCAGAGAACAAATGTGAAAATAAGATAATTATGAATCATTTCTTAGAGAAGAAAGTCAGACTCATTCTTCATTTTAATTGATGTGCAAGACAGTCCCAAACAGTCCAACGCCCATGGAGAGCCACTCACTGGGTTCTTGCGGGGCTGTTACAGTGACCACCCTATCTACAGGCAACAGCGAGCACCTAGACTTCATTTATGGATGGCCTGTGACTGGCTTCAGCATAACCAGACTGGTCACCAAGTCAAGTCCTGCTGGTGGAGAATCTGCTTCGGGCATGTGCAGGTTTTCATGCGCCTCCCCTCCTGTCCGATCAGCTGGAATAACCTGCCATCAGCACACTAAGCCTTCTCTAAGGGATTGTAGTTGGTTTAGCGGATGTCTTTAAAATCCACTCTATTTCCACAGCGATTTAAATTACTACCTGGACACTGCTTTCCTTACTTCCACAAATGAAAATAAGGACGTGCTCTTTATTAGACAACAATCACTTGCCATCAAGACTGCTCTCTGGTGCCCCGCTTTCCAAAATATAACTATTAAAAGGCCAGGAACATGAGCCTGGGGAAGGTGAACTTGTTCAGTTTTTACTAAGATTAAATTTAAAACTATCAACCTTCATTCAACATAGACTTCTGTACTGCTTCAAGTCTCAAAAGAGAACATTACAATCCCCAAAGACTAAATCACTTGTCTCTTGTAAGAGTTATCAGAATAGCATTATGCTGAAAGTGACAGCCTGGCTCTGTTCTGTTTGTTAATGCAGCACAGACTTGCTGGCCAACTGCAACTGGCTGTGAGTCCTTATCGCAAATAAAACTGTTTTTGTGCCATTTCTATTTTTCACTTAAACGTCGCCAGCTCTTCCAGACTCAGGACCTGTCAAATGTCCTGCTGCCAAGACTCTGCCTGTCAGAAAGGTCAGCATCCAGTACCTTCCAGTTGGGTCCCAGAGGGCCTCTCTTGGTCTTGATGGACTGGAATAATGCTGGGTCTTCATCAGCTTTGTAGTCCTGCAAAGCAAAACAAAGTCAGAGGCAGAGAAGAAAACCAGAGAAAATTCTCTAGCCTTGGCTGGAATAGCCCTTTGCAGCTACTGAAGACAGGACAGAAATCGACTGGGCTCACTGTGCTTTGCATAAATGCAGGGAAGTGCTTCTATGTGACATTAAGTTGTCTGTCTGGTTCTCTTTGCTCTAAGCTTTTACCTTAAGGCAAAACAACTACATAATAAAAGTAATACAAGTTTTGATCAACAAGTCCACCACAACTGGTTGCTGGATTGCTGTTAATATCTCTTAAGAACAAAATTTTTAACACTTCTCAACAGTTTCAGCATTTTGATACACATATCAACACACTCAAGAAATAAAGCAGACCCACACCAGTTTTGAAATGACCACGAGACTCTAACGCCCGCTGGAGAGCAACCATCATGACTGGGAACACAGATCAGAACCGTGGGTTCTGTGCACCCTGAGCGCTGCCAGGCCTGGGTCTGAGGTGGAGCCTGTCTGTGGAGAGTCGCCGGGACCACGCTCAGGTCAGTCCCAGGTGGCCAAGTGAGGTGAGGGAGGGCTTCACAACTCCGTATGGGACTCAGTCACAGCATGTCACAATGCACAGCCCTAAAATCTAGGTTTTATGCAAGGTTTCTGTTTGTGTGAATTGTTTCCCTTAATATAGTCTTTCTGGCAGAATGGAAAATACAAGAGAAGTAAATCCTTTCAATCATATCTGCTTTACAAAAGCTCTTGTGTCATTTCACACGTACACACACATAATCCACATACAGAAATTAAAACCTCTTTTTGAAGAGCTAACGTCCAGGTTTAAAAAGTGAAGTCAGTTATAATACTAACAGTGAACAGAGGTCAGATGGAAATATTACAACAGGACAGCCCCTTTCTTCTTGGGCAGTGGTCCTTCACAGGATTTGTGGAGGACCACATACTTTGAGAAGAATGCCCAGACAAGTCAATATGAAAACGTATCATTGTTTTAGAGAGGCACTGAAGGCACGCCAAAGCACAATACAAACATTCAAAATCAAAGAAAACAGGCTGAGAAGCAGCAAACCAAGACTCGACAGTTACTCAGTAAATGCATATGGCACGTCAGTATTTTCTGAAAAGAAAGTTACAAATAAATCATATGAGGAAGGAGAAAAGCGAGGTTCAGGTAGATAACAGAACCTCCGTAAGTGGCGGTAACTGGGCAAATGCGTGACCTTGGACTCAAAGCCTGTCTAAACGACTGGCCGCGGCAGGCCTTGCTGCTGAAACAGGCAGCAGGGCGCAGACGCGGGAGGAGGTCAGCCAGCGTCCAGGGCAACAAGCTGGGAGGAGCCGACTGCACGGAGTCAGACACCTGCAGCCACTCGGTGTGTGGGGGCACATCAGCAGAGAGTTCAATTGCTGTCAGCTAACAGGAATTCTTAAATTCCAGTTTAGACCCACAGCCTAAAATTAACAACTTCACTGCGGACTGAGGGAAAAAAAGAATCAACTGCACAGGTGATCCTAAGACCCGGGTTCACAGTGAGACACCAGCGCTCCTGCTAACAAACCACCATGCAACGTTTTCTTCTAGGTCAGAGGCCTGGAAACCCAGAGACGAATTCAATGTCCTCCAAAACTGAAAGCATTTAACATCCTCTCAGATAACCACTTTTGACATCACCTCCCTCGATTCAAGGTCTATTTACTGAACAGCCATCACGGAGAAGGGTGCATTTCATAAGCACCAAGCAGGGTGCAAGATGCTAAGAGGTAGTCTGGGGGGCCGAGAGCAGAAGAGCCAGCACCTGGGTCGGACTCCTAGGAAGTCAGTCTAGCTGGAAGCAAAGCAAGAGACAAACAAAAGGTACCCGCAACCCCAGGGATAACATGTCCACTGCCAAGAGGGAATGGAGAGAAGAAATTACAGTCAGAACGGAAACCAATCAACACCAGCTGAGGGAAAGTGTTTTTTAAATGAGTTTTAACATCATGTTTAGAAGCAGAAAAATCTTTCTGCTAAACCGCATTGTGTTAAAATCTTTTATGATAAAATTTCAATTATCTGTATAATGTTCAGAGGCCTGGTCAGTGTTTAACACTTAACAGTTCATCCCACTTGAGGGAAAAACACTTCTTTTTTTTTTTTTGCTTTTTTACTAAGCGAGGTGTGACCTTACTGTGAGCAAGATGCCCAAGTGTTTGTGACCTTACTGTGAGCAAGATGCCCAAGTGTTTGCTTTTTCACAAAACCTAAGATATTATGGAGCCCTGCATGAGCTGAAGAGTAAATAATCACATTTCCTGACTCTGAGAGACTGCCAGTTATAGGATGCTCCATTATTTTACGTACCATTAAAAAGGAAAACACTAGGCCAATAAAACATGCCACAACTGGAAGACAGATCTGACTTTGACTATATTAAAATATGAGGAGAAAAATGAGAGGGGATCTCAGAACTGACGGAACAGAGACTGCAGAACTCTCTCTGTGGATTCTAAACTTGCCAGCTCCAAGACAGAAAGAAAAACAAGTCCACAAAATACAGTGTACACAAGTGTTAGTCGGACTGACAGTATACAATAGGGCAGCAGACACACCAAGGCAGAACTCATTTAAGAAAAGCGAGCTTGGTCTGAATGGTAATCAGCATAAATTACTGTCTTATAGAGGTAAACTAATTAAGGGGGTGGGTGCCCCAGGGGAAGGGCTGATGCTGGATTAAGGCGGCAGCACTGAATGTGAAAATGTTAAGCGGATGGATTAGATGGACTTCTGGACAACACTCCTTTCTCCGTCCTAACCCCATCCAGCACCACAGCAGGGTGATGACTTAAGGGATTTTTCAACACTTATTTGACATAATTAACTAAAAAATATGGAGTAACAGTTATTTCAGAGCTTTCATTATTAGTGCTGTTGACTGAGTAACTTTTCTGAACTATGGAGTCACAACATGACAGAGGGGAACTGCACTCTGAAGACCACCAAGCTGCCGCATTTCTCAGGTGAGGAAACCACTGTCCAACAAGGAGGTGGTATGGCCCACCTACCTGGGACCTGAACACCAGCTTCCTCACCCTCCCTCTGCCCGAGGCTCGTTCTAGGCCATCACACAGGAGGATGGTAGAAGGGCATCCACACGAGCCAAACACATTTCAAAAACATCAGGCAGCAGCAGCACCACAGATACCAAAGTGGATTCTCCTGAAAGGCATGAGTGTGTGCATATAAAACACACAGACACACACACACACCCCCCTCCAAAGCTAAGTCTCCCCTCTCTGCTCTTTCCCCTTGAATACAAAGCAGCAACATTGAAGATACACTGGAAATGTTAACAAAACCCAATTATTAACAATACCACCTTAACCTTGACAGATGAGGAAAATGCATCTTGTCAAAACCTAGGAATTTTCGCACTTTTTAATGTTAGTTTGAATACACAGATGTTTAATCCGCTGAATTAAGTAGCAAGATATTAACAAGCAGCAAGCAAGTGTGGTTTTATTAACCTCACTTTTGTATTTATATAACATTTAATTTTTTGAACAGTATTTCTCTGGCTACAATTTTATCATTGGGTATCTAGTTTTGTCTTTCTGTATTTGAAATCAACTGGCTGATTTATATCCGTATCACAATGAACAAATATATTCCTTCATGTATGACAGTTTCAGCATACAGAATGCAACCTCAGCTACCAATTATAGCTGCAAATGAGCAATAGTGTGGAATGAGACAGCCTGCTGGCTTTGTTAGTATTCTGTCTCCTTTGGGATCCCATGGGGAAAGGGGAGGCTCTGATGAAGAGAAGCCCTTGGCTCATGGTTTATTGTGCTTGCCACCAGCTGCAGACTTCTCATCTCATTAGTTCTTTTAGAATACTGTGGGTGAAGACAGCTGTAGCCTACTTGAGTCTTCAGCTCCTGGGTATTCTGAAGGCTGAATTTGCTATGCACTTTCTGTAATCCTTGGGAAAAAAAAAAAGCAGATTCACTGGGCCAAGGAAATATATTTTTTAAATGAGTTTTAAAATCACATTTAAAAGTAGAAAAATCTTATTGCTAAGGTGCACTGTGTTTAAAATTTTTTTATGATCAAATTTTAATTGTCTGTATAAAATGCCCAGAGGCCTGGCCAGGAATAAGGGCTTAGTAAAACCATCATTATCAAGTTAGGTGTAGTGTCCCCAGACACTGCTCACTCTACCAATGCCTGAACAACAGAAAAACACAATGGTATCAGCATAAGGTAGATGCGGATCAGTGTTAATACAACTCTATTTAATTGAAAACTCTGTTTAAGTAAGAAAGGAGGCAAGTCAAGACACCCTTTGGAGAACAAATAAAATCTAATATGGTAAATAAGTGGATTACTGAGTCTCCACGCTGGAGCCACAGAATACATTCATTAAATTCTTATAAATAACTGTTTTCTGTCACTGGAATACAAAAGTTGTGCTACCTCTTGGGTGTACATCTGTTACTCACTACCGTTCTCGATAGAAACTCTCAACAGAAACCAGATTCATTCTGAAGACAAAGAATATTAGTTTTATGAATCTTTTAACATAGTGGCTGCCCCCCCGCCCCAAATGCAAGTACAAAATCTGTGCTTAGCCAGCCCAACCGTCCTTGAGCCCAGATTGAACTCATGATTATGAATGGGGAAGGGAGCAGGAGGTGGGGGCAGGCTGGGAGGAGTTTCTTAACAGCTTGTAGAAAAATCAAGAGCTCCAGACACCAGAAACTGCTTAAAGAACCACGCCTGGGTCACCACAGGTGATGCTACCTGTATAGTAAGGAAAGAAAACACCGGCCCAGCCCATGAACGTGGGCGAGTCCTCCACACCTACCCTCCCCGGCAAAGAGAAGCAACTCTACAGGGCAAACAAAAACTTGAGAGGGGTATTAGGATCCTGCAGCATGCTTGTAAAATGCTGTCCTTTAGCATAAGATGGTTAATCAGTTGTCTACTCAAATAGCTCAAAGATAATCACCAAGTTTAAAAT